AGTCTGATAAGCTTGCCACTAATGCAGAAAAGTAAAGTTACTTTTAAAACAGTAACTAAAAACTACACTTTTAAAAGAGTCCCATAAAAACAAAGTTGTTTAAAATTTGATTAAAAAAAAGCTAAACAAGGAGTAGACATTATTTCAATAAATAATGTCTACTCCTTGACTTTACATAAATCTAAAAAGTTAAAGTCAATTTTACGTTCAATAGCAAGAAATCCAAACCAGTCACAGCAAGATCTAGCAAGAAAATTCAAGAATTTGTGTTCGAAACATATTGCAAGGCGGATTTTTTACAACTTCCTGGTCAGCAATTTTACTATGAGAACAAAGATAAACCTATCGATGAACAATTTGAATATATTCAAATTCCTAAGTTTCTTGTGTGGCAAGCAGAGCGCAGGATTGAAGTTTTTGGGCAATAGTTAAAGAAGTTCTTTGAAAGGCAGGTGGAGTAACAAATAATAAAAAGGAATTCCAAAAAAAGTGGATTAATGCCACCAATAAGGTGAAAAAAGAAAAAATCTGCGAAATGATGGCATCAACCCGCTATAAAGTTCAATCTCTTGCCAAACCCATCAAGTTCCTTAAAATTAAGTTGAAACTCTAATAATTTATGTAAACACATTTAATAATAAAAAAATTGAAATAAAAAGCATTTATGGTTTTAGAGAAATCTCAATTTAAAATTGACCGGATTTTTCCGTGTCCACCCAATAAGTCATGAAATTTTGATTTTGTTATTTCTAAAAGGCATTTTTTCTAGCTCTGGTAATAAGTTTTCTGTGAACCCATTTTCTCACTTTGTTGGTAAACTTTTATTCAATTCATTTTTGCCTTAAGCTTTCTTGGTAATTTGGTGTAATAAAAGAAAATTACAACTTACCCTTAAGTACAAGCATTTTGTTTGTTATTGTATGTTTTTCCTTCCAATTAAAAAAATGATTTGCAGTTGCCAATTTGCTGTGTCTCTTAGTTTATGATTCAAAAGTTAAACACTAGGTTTCAGGGTTTATCTATCAATATCATTACTAAGAACAAGCGACAAGAGGTCTTTAGACTCTAAAATCATAAAACACATTAACTTTAATATATGTTAATTTACTAAAGAGAAATTTAAATATACAAAAATATTTATCAAGTTAATATTTGTAGGTTGTTATTTAAAAAACACATTAGAACATATATAACACACATAAATATATATATATATATATATATATATATATATATATATATATATATATATATATATATATATATATATATAAAACACAATACAATGAAAATATGGAAGAACATATACAATTTATAACTTAAGTAATGATAATTCAAACTACTGACAGTTACATTTACCTATTTTATAGCTATTTTTGAAACTGTTAAAAAGTTTTTTTTATAGTTCTTTATTGGCTCAGAATGAAAACAGATAAAATTAAAAACTCATGTGAAATGGTAGGAATGTAATTTTATGAAAAACTTATTTAAACTTATTATTATGTCTAAATATAAATTTCATAAAATTACATATAAATTAACACTTTTCTAATAATATAAATCATAAAAATACTTTTTTTTATTTTTATTAAAGTTACTTCAATTTCAAGGTATAAAATAAAGAATAAAATATGAACCTAAGGCAAGAAAGATCAAATATTTTGTGCAATCTAGAGGAATAATTTACAGTATTTTTGCTTTTTGTAAAACTGTTTAATCATCAAAAATCACTATTTAAAAAAATACAGAAGCCTGTTCAAGTAAAACATTTGTCTTGATTCAACATCAATACCCGATTCAACATCTTTTTAGAACTTTCTTTAATTCTCTCTGAAAATTTGAAAATTGCATCAGTGGTTTCAGTTTTTTAATTCTTTGGAGTAAATGACCCCTCCAACTATGGTCCAAGTATTCTAAGAAATCTCATGGTTCTATCCTGTTTTGTTTCTTATTTACATTATTGATCTTCTTGACAACCTTATATTTAAAGTGATATAAGTTATATTTAAAGTTGAACCATCAGCTCTGCTGATGATTCAATTTTACACTCATATCTTAACAAAAAGTATTATTTTTTTGATCTTAGAACAACTGATTTCAGTAAAACTGTAACAGAGATTGCCATGTGAAATTTAACCCTAAAAAAAACTCATTTATTTACTGCAAACAATTGATGCAAACAAGCAATATTGCAACTGTTAACAAACGATATTGTAATACTATCAACATTCCAATATCGATGTCATCAATAAATGATGAGCAGCAACCCTCTCGCTGATCCACTTCTTTACATCTTTTTGGATTACCACTCGCAACTGACCTTTCATGAAAAACATATATACAATTGATTGCTAAATTAGCATCTGTTGAGGTTGTTTATAAGGTTGTTTAACAAGCTTGCTATTTTCATACTCCTGATTCTATTTTCGACCTCTAGAATCCTCTCATTCGCCACTGTATGGAAAACTGTTGTCATATTTGGGTCAGTACTTCTTATGATGTTCTATTACCTTTAGATAAGGTACAAAAATGAATTGTAATCATAGTCAAACCTGCTTCATCTACCAAACTTGAGCCTCTCTCATTGTCATAAAGTTGCATCTCTATCTCTTTTCTATAAAAAAATGTTAATATTTAACTTTTAATATGTTAATATTCTGCTTATATATTAAAAATAATTTTATTCTGTTAATATATTTATATTCAAATTTTAGCATTTTTATTTTAAAAAAAGGTATTAATAATGCATGCACATACACATAAAATATTTTTATACACATACACATAAGATATTAATTTAAGCAGAATACTTTATTAATTTGATTAAGACAACAAGTACAGTACAAGATCTATAGTAAAGATAAAAATAAAATTAAAAAAATATATATTCAATTAAAAATTCTGTTTAATCTATACGCAGCTTCTATGCTGCTGGCACAGGTAACTAACTGATTGATAAGGCTAAGTCTGTAGTTACACAATAATGTATCTGATAGTATCTATTAAGTGACCCAGATACTTGAATTTTTCAATGAAAACTCATTCACATCCAGCTAGGGTAAACAGTGGAAAATTGCTTGACACAATCTTACATCTCTGTTTTGGGTTAAATACCATACACACCATTTTTTATATAGAGATTGCAATTGCTCTGTAATTATTTACACCTAACTTTAGATTTTACTAGAGTTGTTATCATGGCTTCACAAAATGTTGATGGCAAAATTATATACAAGAAGCATTAATTAAAAAAATACTTAGAAAGAGAGAAAGTGTCTCTATGTCTATATGACATAGAGACACTTTCTGTCCTCTACGTCATATAGTCTCCATATATAAATGATTCTGGGTCAATATGTCCTCCAAATATAAATGATTCCATAAACAAGTCATCTGGTCCAGCAGATTTTCTATTTTTTTACTTATGCAAAGCATTAGTAACATCTTTAATAGTAACTCTAACAGGTATGTCTAGCAATGAAGAATGTACTTTCTGTTCAAAGTGTTTGTGTTAAGTGATTTTCTACTAACTTATATAACTATATATATGTGTGTGTATATATATATATATATATATATATATATATATATATATATATATATATATATATATATATATATATATATATATATA